ATGGATAATGAACGACTGATTGAAAGTACGTTTATGATGAGTGAATTTTAGCGAATGATGATTGAGAATTATTGATTGATAAATATTGACTAATGATTGATGGGTGAGGATAGTATAGATTATATTATATACTCTAGATTTAAGCATTACTGATTGGTGGTTGACGTAGAAATGGAAATTTAAGCGAAGAAAACTAGTTAACTCTAATGCATTTTGGCAGACAGAATTCGGTTGCTGTGTGATGCATTTGATGCTCGTCGTGGCGTTGAGGTTAGTGCCAGTTGGGGTACGCCCATCGAATGTTAGGGTAGATATTAGCAGATGCAGATGGAGCCGCCCGATGCGACTCGACCGACTCGAACGAAATGCAAATAAAAAAGGGGACTTTGAATTAAAATGGCAGCTGAAAGTTGGAATAGGAATTGGCCAAACGAGATGGCAGCATGAAATTTTGGTTGTATTTGTGTGTGTGGCGAGGAGCTCCCTATCGTTCCCTTGGAGCGCCTCCTTGACAGCGTGCCCTGGTGCCCGACTGGCAGCGTCGTAATTCTTTCGCACACACACACACACACGCATTCCGWCTGCGCTGCTTGTCGACATTTTGGTAATAAATTGAGTTTTATGGCAGTCATATTATTCTTTATTAGTGGCTAAGAATTGTTGCCTTTTGTTGGCTTTGTGCAAACGACGTCTCAACCGGGCCACCCCAACCCACCACGGAGACGCCACCTGCTCAGCGAGCATTGCCATTGCTACGCACATTGCCATTCTCATTCTCATTCCCATTCTCATTCCCATTCGCATTCCCATTCGCATTCACATTCACATTCACATTCTCATTCACAATTACATTCACATTTCCCTTTCACACATCTATCCCACTGTGCGTGTGTGTGTGTGTGTGGTTGTGAGTGGTGCCAACTGGCTGCAGCGGCTGCTTAATTAATTTGCCCCAACACAATGAACTTTGTCAATGCTCAACAGCCCAGGAAAAAGTCTATGCAAAGTCAAGGCAGCTGGATAACAGAGCCCTAACCCGTCGAGGGTCCCAGCCGCCGCCTCTAGCGCCGTCTCTAGCTCCGCCGCCGTCGTCGAATCAATCAAAATGACACAAAGACAAAAAGGGAACCGCCTCGCCCCCGACAGCTGGCCATCCCAACCGTCCGCCTGAATCAAGAATGCGAATACACAAGTCCTAATTGAACATTAAATTAGGTACAAAGCGAAATAATAAGCCAACTGGCGATGATATATGGCCTACCCTAAGGAGCCGTAATCAGTTCTCCCACAGCCAAGAACGCTAAGCCATGCAGAATATTATGAAAACTTGTTACTTCAGAATTGTAGCCGGGCGAGGTAGTGGTGTAGCAACGGCCACGGCAACGGCAACGGCAAAGAAATATGGCTCTGCTCTTGAAGATGTATTCCTTGGGCAATTGTTTATCCAAAGATTAACTAACTCAAACAGTTTTGCTCTGGGGCGACCGTGGGCTATATAGGTATATCTATTCGGAGGAGAAGAGACTTTAGCTATACCATTTCTCAGACTTCCAGGCGAAGTTGAGCTGAGCTCTGCAGAGGAAACGCGACAACTTTTGGGAATTCCATAAAGTGATTTGGTGACTCGATGACTTGGGGTGCAATGTCAAATGAAGTGCTCCAACCAATTTCTGTTTTAGTTGCAGCAGAAGCTCTTTAGGGTCTGTCGCTTTGGGTCCATCAATGTCAGTCGAACCAGTTGCAGTGCATGAAAAGCGTTCGAGCTTAAAGTTCACCCAATGCGCAATCGCTCCTCCTTCGACATACGCAAACAGATGATCCTTGAAAGTGGGGCTGTCAAAACCGCCAAACAGTAAGTGGAAAACTTGCATCTCATACACCCACACACACACACACACACACACACACGAGACCCATTGTGCCAAAACACTCGACGGGTGGCTTGGAAATTACATAATGTTCTCGCTTGTGTAATTTATCATCTTCAGGCGCAGAGCGCGAGCGAGAGGGCAAGAGAGGCAGAGAGAGGGAGAGCGGCGGCTGGGGGTAGCTCAATTCTGGTAAACCTTTTAGGCAAAAGTTGCGCACAAGCGCCGGCAGGTGGCGCCTTTAATGATTAATTGCTCAATTGGAGCAGGAAATTTTCACCAGCAAGCACACACCCCCCTCCCCCTCCCCACTCCATCACCACCCCTTCCCGCTCACTCGCACCCGTTGACAGCGCAGCGACGACGACTATCGAAAGCAATTCACTCGAGGCACGCAACCCGAAGGCGTTGACAGTCGCGCCTCAGCCGAGTTGCCTTCTAATTGTCATCGGACTCAGGCCCATCTTCAACTCGACGGCTAATTGTAGCCTGCCCCGCCCGAGAAGACAAGTATTTCGTATACATTTACTACTGACCTTGGGGCATCCCGCTCTGCCTTTGCCGTTGGCGACTCTCTCACTGCCAGTCAGAAAGTCCATTGGCATCTTATCGATAATTCAAAACAAAGTTGGCACACGAAATGCCTAATTGCAGCATTGATAGAGGACATGAAAGGCAACACACAGAGCGAGCAGGGGCTGGCAAGAAGAAGAATGCTTTTTAAACAAATAAGACTTGAATGGGGCAGCCAGCCCAAGGGTTCGCTAGTTGGCCTGGAGAGGGCCAAGAGCGAGCCCAGTGAGCCTAGAGCATGTAAATATCCGACAAAGACACTTGGAAAAGCCTGTTATTTATTCATAGTCAATAGAGCTGCTAGTTCCGGGAAACTCTCATTGATTCTGAGAGCTGCTCTGCATAATTGTTTGTTGCCTTTGCATGGACATACAAATAAGTGCTATATGCTTGACATAGACTGACCAAACAGGAGCAATAGCATTAGAAAGTAAAATTTAACAAATTACTGCTTTTGATCTAAATGTAAAATCTATATATATAAAAGAGAGTTGTGTAAAAGTGTCCAAGCACTTATAACTCGAGATCTGCTGGACCAATTTTCATGGTTTTTGATTTGTTGTATTTGTCTCCGCCACGAGTAGGTCAGTAGATCTTTAAAATACTGAAAAAATTTGACGAATACTTGAAAAACGCGGTTTTTTCCCTAAAGATTCAAATTTCCATTTATACTCAGTAGCCTTGACAACAGTGACAGTTTCAGTCCTGTATAGAAGTAAATAAACAAATGTAGTCAGTCAGTCTACGGCACAGC